AAAAACAAAACTGGCGAATTCAAAATAGAAAACATACATAAACATACAAAACTACCGATATCACACCAAGCTACTCAGCATGCAAGGCAGATAGTCCCAAAACGCAGCCACTACGAGTGTGGACTTCAGTTCGAAACGACGGTGTTGAGCGATGTCGACCAGAAGGAGTTGTAGAAGAGCGAGAATGGTATTCCTGACGGCGCTGGGTATTCCTCTCAAGCCCTTGCAGGATACGGTGGCCCGTGTCGATGCCGTTCCCTGCATGTGGCCAGAAGGTCGACGTTGACGTGCGGTGTCTCGAAATCTTGAAATATAGGCCGGCAGCTTGTAACGTTGAACCAGCAACGGGCCTACCCGAAGAATAGAGAAGGCGATATATTTCAACAGGTCTGCGGTAGACTTTCCAAGGCGTTTGAGTAGGACTGGGTATATCCTTGGTACGAGGAATTGCTCCAGACGCGTGTATACCGTGCTGACCAATCGGGAGAACACCGTTTGAACTACATCAATGCATTTGTCATCGACGTCCCAGACGCCTTGGCTTTGGTATAGCTGACGCGTTTGAACCAGCTCCGGTAGCCAGCATGCAGGGGCGGATCCATTCGAATGGCTGAAGATGAACTCGGATGGTCTTGAAAGGATGGTCACACACAGACGGGCCAGGATAATTCGATCCATCTGTCCTGTACTATTTTGTGGTGTGCTCGTTCCCAGGACGCCTCCAGTGCAAGCAACAGGTGGTTTCTGAGCATTGTGTGGCACCAGTAATCCACACCTGCGCACGGTCTGCTTGGCCATAGATAACAATGCCTCGCCGGTGCAGTTGGGAGGGTGTTTGCCAGATTTTATTAGTTTAGTGCACAGTGAGTGGCTTGAACGAACCAGAAACGCCAAGCCCACGAAACAATTTAATACCTTCTTTCCGCCGGGAGGACCAAAATTGAACTCCACTTTGCGACACTTTCTGATTTGCTCCCTTGCTGCCTGTTTCAACGCGCAGTACTTAACATCTGCTACATCTTCCGGAGTGCAATCACCTGCTTCGTCTGCACTTTGCCTTGGGTCAGCATTGGAGCACACATACCGCTCAAAATCCACTGTGTACTGAGGTCTGGTATCATTCACTGCTCCTTGAAGTGGGCTCACCCGCCGTCCAACAGCACAGAGGAGAGCAGAAATGAAAATCCACTTAATGGACACACGCAGACGTGCGCCGCAATGGCTTCTGTGCAACATTCTAGAACACCACGTTTGAGAGAGGGTTTTTAGGCGAAGTTCTCCAAGGCACATCGAATCGTGAAGTGAGGATCAGAGACTTCCCAGTGGTCTATTTGTTGGCTAAACAGGCTACATTGCCTCGCGATCTCTTCGGACAAAGACAAACCCGGCTAGCAGTCAATTGTTTTTGTTGTTCCTGAATTTTGATTATAAGCAACGGAGATAATTAATTTTGCATCTGAGAAAAAAGCCATCGTATGTGTTTGCACCAGCGACTCGCTCTAATCAACACACGAGCATGTGTAAGAATGCCGTGTGATTAAGTTGGGTATTAATTAACAGGCAGGCAGGAATAGTGGGATGGTCTAACACTATGATTGAGAAACAGAGGGTACCAGGCGCAGTTCCTGCTTGGAAGCGAAGCATTTTTTCCAGCGGTGCCGCGACCCAAAGTTAATTGGGAACTCGTGACCTGGCACGAGGCAAAAATGGATGCAGCGAATGAGATTTTCGGTCTCTGATCACTTTGGTGGTGGGTCTGATCTACTCATCTCTCACCGCTTCAGGAGCTGCATCTGCTCCCTGATCCTTGAGTGTAGAGGCGTTCATGCGGATGCGGAAGATTCGGCCTCCAGCCGAGTCTGACGCGAACCGCGAATTTATTATTTATTTAACATCAACATTAAGGTAAAAATGGGAAAGCGATAGTGCAGTCACAGACTGAGTTACACAAGTGTCCTGTCAGATATTGTAGACAGTTCCAATAGTTAACATGTACATGTAGTTTGCTGGCAGTCTATGATAACTCTCAGCATTTGTGCATATCTTCCCCAAATTGTGGAAGCACCCGTGCCCTACAACTCGCCAACGTGTGGGAAATTATCATCATTTACGTTGGAGATTAATATCGCTCGTGGGAACTTCGGAAACGATGAGGGAGAGGAAGGCAGTTTGCGAGGTCCTTATCTGCGTATTCCGCTACACAATTGTAGCGCACGGAGATTTCGATTCCGATCTTGATTGTCGAGCAGCTCGATCAACGTAATGCGCTGCTCTGCTATGTAGCGCGGCAGTAGCGACATGACTGGTGTCATGGTGCCAACAGGCCATTTTGCCAAGCACACAAATCGAGGCAAAGAAGTAGCAGATTACACGAGTTGCGAGCAGCAGTGCACCATTTATTGTTGTACCTAGACCACACGGTCAGACAAACAGTAAAGTAAAGTTCGCATACCCCCATTACCTGCACAATATTACAGTCCATTCAGAAAAAAATGAACTTCTAGCTTTTAGCCATAAATGGGTCAAACGTTGAGTTTTTTTAGAATTTTTTCTGCAATCCCATATGGAATCCTCTTCCAATTATGTTTCTGAAGTTTTTTTGTCCAAAAAGCAAGCCATAGCAAAAATAGGATTTCGGCCAGGTTTTGGCCCAAAAGCACTGAATTGGGAAAAACCATCAAAATCCAGGCCGTTTGACCCCGCCTGCAACAGTGCATTCTGCGGTTCGAACCCCAGTTCAGGCACCCTTTTTGGACCCCTTTTCAAATTTCAAAGTTCGCAGCACTGCACTGTGTACGATGAAATCACGAAAAATCGCCAAATACGGGAGCTCGCCAGAGCCAGGACCCATCTTTTTATGAATGGACTGTAGAGAGGTGAAGTTGCACGTTATTTCCGATGTGACGCGTAATTTCATTCACATCAAATTTGGCGTAAAACTCCAATTTCGACGTGAGCTGCAGGTCACTCGTGTTATTTTTCGATGCGCGACACAAAATAACGCGAGCTGAACTTTCGCTTCACGTCAGAAATAACGTTCATCTTAACCTCTCTATTGTGTTGAGAAACACAACCAGCTTTAGAGACGTTTCGCTTGTGTGAGGCCACCAGCATGCCTGATCATGCCACGGTGGCCGATGCAGTGCCTAACGGCGAGGGTGAGTTGAGAAAGTCTCACAGGCTATGCCCGACAAGGGGGCGAGCCTCCTTGGCCGCATACATGTTATGATCATAGAGTGCGACAATTAGCCCCCATTCGACAGAGTACGAGCTGACGCCTGCATGTGCGTACAGGTAGCTCCAACACACACTGGATTGGATTTTTGGTTTATTTACACTCGATGTGCAAACCAACTGCCGTCCAGATGGGTTCAACGTTAACGAGGGAAGGCAAAGTGGGCGCAACGAACGCCAGATACCACCTAGCTTCTATCTCCTCACGTTTCAGATTCAAATTGTTTGTACTTATTTACAGATCATTACATAAGGTGTGCAGCCCGCTCTTAACAGACTGTGTTGTGACTAGAGTCAATGCCACACACACAGCGTCAATCACCCGCTCGCAGGTTACTCTGTCTCTTGCTCTTCCCCCGGCTAATAACCGCTATGGCTTGTACGCATTAAGCTTCTTAGGTGCAGATCGCTGGAATTCGCTCCCTGCTTCTGTTCGTACTTGCTCCACGCTATCAGACTTCCGCTCATCTATACAAAAACATATAGGGTACCCCGTAAGAAGGCCTTAGGCCTGTGGGAATGCCCTATTAAAAATTTAATAAATAATAATAATAATAATAATAACGAAAATGACTAAAAGGTAAATCGGCATTAGAGAGGTTAAGATGCACGTTATTTCTGACGTAACGCGGAAGTTCAGCTCGCGTTATTTGCTTGCACGTCGAAAAATCAACGCGAGTGACCTGCTGCTCACGTCGAAATTTGGAGTTTTACGCCAAATTTGACGTGAAATTGCGCGTCAAGCGTGTACAGTACGCATTGCATCATCAAAATGACGTCAACTTGAAATTCTGTCGGGACACCCATATGGCCATACTGGGCCATAGTCGAGTTGCACACTCTGGGGTTATGCGCTCTTGGTTTGTACTCGTGCAGTAAATCAATACAGGTCTGCTCTCGATATAACAACTCTCACTTGTACATAAACCTCGTTAGTACATAAAAAATCAAATCCCGCGCCGAAACAGCATCACTCCCATACAAATTTTGTTCTACACAACATAATCCTACATAACATAAACCTCGACATAAGACACGCTACGGCGGTCCCCGACGTGCGCACTCTCGATACAACATAAATTCACGTGCACGGTATGATCAAGCGGTAGCTGTAGCTAGGCAGTTTAGGCCAGTTTAGTCCTACATAACGTAAACCTCGGCATAACGCACCCTACGGCGCAGTCCTCGACGTGTACACTCTCGATACAACGTAGATTCACGTGCGCCGTACAATCAAGCTGTAGCCGTAGCTAGCCAGTTTAGTCCTATGTGCATATATTCTGTGGCATTGATGGTATCTGATGTCGATGGTGGTACAGTGTGTATATGTTTGCACGGTTGAACCCGCCTTGTAATACTCTTCATTTTGAGGTGCATCCTGTATTTTATACACAGTTTTCTACATAACATAACTCTCGATATAACATGATGTTTGCGTGGTCCCAGAGATTACGTTATATGGAGAGTAGACCTGTAATAGGCTTTCGGCCTTTGGCCCCAGTTTGGGGAATCCCTCAAATACGTACCCAAATATAACAGAGCGAAACAGTTGCTGTCCACAGATTTGTGTACCCAAATATAGCATGTTGCCACCAGCATGATCATATGAGTCCATATTTAAAATATATAAGTCTTGACACTACAATTATAAGCGATGTCGAAGAGAAGTTCGGTGCAAGAATTGACCAGTCACGCGACATAGAGACTGTAAGCCACTGCACGAAAGTTTCTGTTCATTTGGTAGTTTGCGGGAGAAGAGCGTGCAGACACGAGACAATGAGTGTGCTTGCTGAGTAAAGTTCTGTTGAGTATCTAGCTGCTGGGAAGAAGAGAAAGACGGTCCACAGAGCGAGGTGAACGACGTTTGTCAAGAGAGGCAACTTACACTTGTTTGGATCAGCTGTAGCTTGGATCCCACGAGCCGTTTGCATCATGCAAGCTTCGAAGCTACTTGTACGTACTGACTAGTTCTGAAGTTCCATTCTTTGTTGTACTGTGTTTTCAAGAATAGTATACAGTTTCTAACATTAAAAGTTGGACGGGTCTTCCCTTGCATGCTCTCTCTCATGCAGCACACGATAGAGTTGGATTCAGAGACATCATTCACAATTCTCTCGCTGATTAATGCCTCTACGATCACCTTGTGATTATGAGTTATGCATACATACATACATACATACATACATACATACATACATACATACATACATACATACATACATACAGTCATGTACGAAACAGCTTGCTGTATACTGCATTTGGTACATAATAATAATAATATCTTTATTAGGATGACCCAGAGGCGTGTCGCCTATCAAGGGGTTCACCGCTTTGAATGGTGTACTTGTAGATGTAGGAGCTAAAGTGAAAGTAGTGGAAAGTAAAAGTTGTGCAGCGTGAATGCGTTGGGGAGCACACAGGGGGGTTATGTACATGGCGTGGGCATACTGGAGAGAGAAGCACTATGTTTGCAAGTGAGTTTGCGAAGCTCATTCTTGAAAACAATAATGGATGGTTATGCAGTTAGACTTGGTGGGAGGCAGTTCCATAAGAGGGAGGTTTGGAAGAGAAACAACAATTTTGATGTGGTCTTTGCTATGATTGTATTACCGTATTTTCGGAGTATAGTGCGCACCTTTGTATAACGCGCACCCCCAATCTTCATTGGGGATGCGCACTTCAATCTTCATTGAAGTACATGCATTTCATATTCGGAGCATAGTGTGCACCTGCGATTTAGGGCCTAAAATAGCACATCTAAAGTGCGCACTATACTCCGGAAAATACGGTACATACATGTTCACGCGCTCAAGATTTATTAAGATAGTCTAACTCTGCTTCCTTTTGACGTGGGTCCGCCAACAGTGAAAGTTATGTGGTCGAGCTTTCACACTGTGTTCTCCCAGTTGGCCTAGCTGGGCGAACAACCTCTGTGTCATCCTTATAAAGATAATATCGCGATTGTGGAGTTTCCAGATCCAAAAAGGGGAGGATGCAGCTTTGCGCAATGTCGAGAAAAACGCATTTGAAAACTGAGTTTCCGTTATGATCACTGTATGTTTCAAATCTTTGTTCTCACGATAGCCACTGGCCAATAAGAGATCAGAGAAGAGGAATATTGAGGAAGAATTGGGTGGGCAGAGTCTAGGGATTAATGACTATTTTAAAAGCGTACGGGCAGGGGTGGTCGCTACACGAGCATACAGAGTTGTGGAACAGCAGGGATATCAGGGATTTGAAGAGAGCACGAGAAGGGATTTCGCGAAGCTGGGTGGGCAAGCAATTAAAGTAATTTTAAAAGGGCCTTGTACAGGGGAGAATGGAGACAGCAATCAGTCCGCGCAGTTGGCAAGTGCCAAGTACGAGAGCGAATTCTAACTTGGCTTATCTTCGATAACCGACGAAGAGACAATAGTGGTGAAATAGCAGTGAATAAAACTATTAATTTTAAGAACTCAGATGGTGAGCGGGAAAAATATTGAAATTGTGGGTACGGAGACATTCCACGGCATAGGGGGACTCCTTGTCAGTTTTGTGATAGATTCTGCACGTTTGACTGTTCAAAATTTGGTTTAGTTGGTGGACTCGATCGCATAACTCGTGCTCACAATTTCTATGTTACATTTTAATGTAAAAAAACTATTTGTGCACTCATAACCATGTATAAAACAATAATTATTATTGATTCAAAATTTTGAAGGACGCTTCACGCAGCTTCATTATACTTGAATCGTTTGCAGGCAACCTGCCTATACTCAAGAGAGCACTGCATTTCACACAAATCCATTAGAGGTAACGGTACCTCTAATGGATTTGTGTGAAATGCAGTGCTCTCTCTTGAGTGTAGGCAGGTTGCCTGCACACCATTCAAATTATTATTGAAATGAAAAAAATTCCAGAACGTTTCCTCATGACTATCATCAGTTGAACATCGTCACATGGTGAGAATCACTAAAACAACCAGTTATATAGCTAGAATAATAATCACAAATGGCAGCTAGCAGTTGCACATAGCGTCATTTCCACCAGCAGGTCGAGCTTATGCATTGAATGTGAAAATGGTATCTTCGGCGCATAATGTTTCTTTACTTACAGTACACAATCTGTAGCATGGGCCGTTGTGGTACTCGTTATAATCTAGAAAGTCGATAATGATGAAAATGCTCCGTTGTAAATTCTCAGTTTCAAACAGGAGCCACAATGTGTCGTGTTCTTCTACACAATTAGGGTACCTCAACTCGAACTTTCCAAATACGGTCTCTCCGTTGCATACGTCACTTCAAAATAAATAAATAATTGAACTCACCAAATTTTCAGGCATGGCCCATCCTCAGGGTGACTTACATTCAATGGGTATGAGTGGCTTTGTGTTTGATTTGTGTGAGTGGCTGCGATGGGGTCTGCGAGTTCTTAGAAAGGTTTATTTATGCTCTTCTCTGCGTGTAAATCTGCTATCGCATGCTGTCCTTTCTTTTGTGTATTCCCAGGCCCTGTGTCTGGTCGTGACGTCCATGTTGGTAGGAGCAATGTGATGCCAGTACCAGTTGTTTCCCGTGCCAGTGTGAGAATGGAGTTCTCATTTCATGCCCAAACATTACCCGGATGTGAGTTCTACCTTGTCTCTCGTCTGCATGCTTAGGCCATATAGGGTATGCACTGTATGTGGAGGGAACGCTGGTCACCTAATTCTAGATTACACCTGAAACCTGGCAGGTCCCTGGCACCGAAATTTTAATGCACCTAAATTACATGTTTTACAGAACTGTGAAGACTGCTCAGTAGCATAATAAGAAGGAGAAATACTTTAGGAATGGGCTTGCTTCCACATTGAAGCTCGCGCTATTCCGTCGACTTGACTCTTGACACTTGACTGACTCACGACTGCCATCCAGAGCACACGAGAAGTCGAACGAACCTTCAGAAATTCTTCAAAAATAGTTAAAACACCTGTACGTGGCGAGGCGTGTATTTGCTGCCCAACATGTACGTGGTCTGCTGTTAGCTCAACGTTGTCATTAGTGTATAACACGTTATTTTCGGTGTAATTTTACTTAATTTCGGTAGAGATTTCAGGCACCTAAATTTAGATTCCACCTAAAAGGCACTAGAGTTTGCACTGTATGTAAAGGGTACGCTGGTCACCTAATTCTACATTTGCCTAAAACCTGGCAGGTCCCCACTTCTCGTGTGCTCTGGATGGCAGTCGTGAGTCAGTCAAGTGTCAAGTAAAGTCGGTGGAATAGCGCGAGCTCCGGTGTGGGAAGCAAACCCTTTTCTTACAAATCATCGCCGACGTCGCAACCACTACTTCGTAGGTCCCTGGTACCGAAATTTGAATACACCTAAAGTTACATGATCATACAGTACTGTAGTGTATGCTGCCTCGCAGGATAATCATCAGTCAACAAATTTACGTTGTTCACAGTCCATGCCTAGTGCAAGAGTTCCTGAGACCGGGAGTGTGCAGCTTCTGACTTTTTCTGCATGTCTGTCCGTACTAAGTCTTATACTTAAAAAGATAGGGTCTGTTTGTCATAATTCTCATAACAAGGACACACTTCAGGCTCATTACGAAGATCTTGAAAAGATTTTGGTTTCGCGAGTATACTTTCAAGCCTTCTCATCAGGTGAAATACAGTGTGTCCTTTTTATGAGATTATCGCATTTTTGTCTCAGAGGAAACTGTCTGTTTGTCACGCTAAACTTCCAGAAATATATCATAGTATTTGATGCAGATCTGAGGCGGAAAGTGGCATGGTGCCCACGACTGAACTGCAGTTGTGCAGAAGTAGATCTGCATGAATCCTGCATGCACGCACTACTAAAAATCGATCAGTCCAAATCTACAATAATGCCGTAATCCCGGAATTGTTCCGCAACGGCAACCCATCAGAGCTGCACGCTCTGAGTTTCATGCAATCTTGCCTACAGAGTTCTATGGATGGGATGAGTGAGCAGAACGCAGGTGTCGCCATGTTGCACAGCGAGGTGAAGATGAATGTGCTGTGCCTGAGCATGAGCGGTGACACTCCACTGAAGAAATAGTGAAAGACCAAGTCAGGTTATGGATTTTTCCCAACTGCACAATCAGGTGCAGGTTAATTTTCCCCGTTTGGATTTTGCGAAGTAAAACAAAGTTCAAAAAAAAATTTGCAGGAGTAGAGAGCGACTTCCCCTTTTGTGTACGTACTTTTCACTTTCTTTTTCCTCTTCTTCCGTGGTTGGTCTCACCCACTCCTCAATTCATTCGGCGTTCTTGACATGCTATGAGGTGCAGAAATAAATAAAATGAGGTAGACTTGAAAAGCACAGAATATCTTTCAAGTAAGGGGCGTCCGTAAAAATCGATATTTTTCAAGACGATATTTGTTCATTAAATTTTCTCCCAACCCCCCCCCCCCCCTCAAAACGAACATACACATGTTTATGCAGAGGATGGATATCTTTTTAATGAAGGGCAATCGCCTCATGAAACGTGACCAGCTGCAACTCTGAATTCACCATACATCTATATGTAGGTTTACGTTGCCACGGTCGCACAACCTTGCCGTGGCTATGTTCGTGTGTTCACGAGGTTGACTTTCACTTTGTGTAGGTCATAAACAACATGTTTGCACAATGCCCGTCCATAGATGAGTTCGATATTTTTTCACAAAGACAGAACAGGGCTCGAACCCCCTCCGTCAAATGAACAAATATCTTCTCTAAAATTTGTTCGATATTTGTGGACGACCCCTAAGGTCGAAGGGTACCAATAAAAAATTGAAAACGAAAAGCTTTCGTTTGGGGGTGGGTGGGTTTGATGGATTTTCGTTTTGGAGATAATTATTGAATGCAAATGGAGGATACCCAGTTTCTTCTGGGTGTTGAAAATCGATATCAATTATAATAAATCGTTTCATTTTGTAAAAACAATCGGTAACCCCGGATGGCCCCTAATATAATCTCCTGTGTGTTGTGCAGACCGAAACGAGTGTCTAGACTACTCTGCAGGTTGCAGTACAGATGCCCACTGCCACAACACCTTGGGATCCTTTCAATGCACCTGCCGATCAGGGTACACTGGTGATGGAATGTCTTGCACAGGTAAGTTACATGTAGAAACCGTAACGACTAGACAGAGTTGTGAATTATTCATGCATTTGGGCTACTCGCATACTATGCATGTATTCGTCGAAAACAATTGACACCAGACACGAGAGAGCTTGAAAGCTGAGGGCCCTATGCTATGCTTATTTGCCCAGCTCATCATGAATATTTATCGATCTGATGGAAGCGTTTTTGCTATGCACTTATGTAGCCGATCAGTTTTAATCCGGCGACTGCTCGACGTCGTCAGGCACAAACAAACAAACAGATATGGAATTAAAGCGGTGTGGACCCTGGCTAGCGCCAGACGTTACTGAAGTAACGACTCTTGTATAGCTACGAAATAAATATTCATGCTATCATCATCATCATCATCATCATCATCATCATCATCTGCGTTGCCGAAAAAATAATAAAAGTAAAATTTTAAAAATAATAATAAACGGCATTATGCAGCTGTGTAAGCAATAGATGCACAGTGCGACTGCCAGGCATCTCTGTCAGATGCCAACTGGCAATTCTCATGCAGAGACATACCAGTCCACGAAACGATGTTGTCAGCAAAGGAAATCTTCGGACGACCACGCTTTCTCTTACCATCCACGACACCAAACATCACGTCACGTACAAGCTCGCAGACCTGAAGTGCGTGCTTTCGAACCTGCAGGTTTGTTACACTCATAGTACTATTTTGCACTCATAGTACTTATTTTTGCACGCATAGTACTATTTTTGCACGCATAGTACTTATTTTTGCACGCATAGTACTATTTTTGCACTCACAGTATCTATTTTTGCACTCATAGTACTATTTTTGCACTGCAACGGTTTTTAATTAACAGCACCGCCTTTTGCACTGTGAAGCCGAAGAAAAGGCTGTGTCTAAATTCTAAACTTTACGTGTAGTCTGGCTTACGTGCGGAATTGCTTCAGAGCCATGCACCGCTTCAAACGAATAGATTCAGTTTGATCTAGTTCTGCCTACAGAGACAAATTATTATAATGAGAATGCAGGTACTTCAATGAGAAGTGCAATGCATCAAGCTGTTGCGAGGTTTACCACCTCTCACCCAAAGCAAGACAGGTGCTTGCATTCTTATGCCTACTGCAAGCTTCACCGGAAATTCGCGACGGGCACAAGACTCCAAAAGACCGAGAATCCATCAAGCAAATAATACACATGATACGGTAGTTTTGTAGATGATCGCACTTAATTACTTACCTTTATACTCAGTAATGGGTTTGCTCCCACACTGGAGCTCGCGCTATTCCGCCGACTTGACTCGACACTTGACTGACTCACGACTGCCGTCCAGAGCACCCGAGAAGTCCGTCGAACCTTCGACTCGGCAAACCGGCAAGAAAGCACCACTCCCGGCTCAATACACAATGTTTCGGGGAATTCACCCCTCATCAGTTGAGCTTGAGTAGGCTGAGGAAGATTGTGGCTGAAGAGGCAAAGTCGCAACCACTATTTCACACTGTTTATACTTAATACTGTACAAGAAGAAATATTCGTCTGGAATTTAATGTCGTCTTTTCGTCCAAAACGCTTTTGGACTAAATTAAATGCCAGACTAGTGTCCATTTGCCCAGCTTTTCTATACCCTCTTATGATCCATGGACGAAATTTTCACCCGAACAAACTCCCTTTCTTTGGAATTGGACGAAATTATTGACAGACGAAATTTTCTGCCTCTACAGTAAATCATAGTAGAACTAGGCTGCACATCCTACTTCAAAATACCTTGAATTGCCAAAACGTTGCTTAGTAGATACTGAGACAGTAAAGTAAAATTGAGGAAATCACATGGAAACGAGTAGCATGCATCATTCTCAGGCGCTGCTTATACTGTGGCAAATACTGGTACTTCACTTCTCTTCTGCTCAGATGACGACGAGTGTGGAGATAAGACCGACCATTGCAGTTCTAATGGCACATGCAACAACACAATGTACCTGTGCCGCAGGGTACACAGGTGATGGCTTCTTCTGCGCAGGTAAGCCAACTCACCGCTAATGTCGCATATTAAAGCTGGGCTTATTCCTTTGGAAGCTAATGTGAGGGCTAGGCTTCTATTCACCCCAGGCTTCAATTCAAACCAGGTATTTCTATGTTTTTCAACACTAGGCCATGTAAAATATGAGCCGTCGACTGACTAAATACACCTTAGAACCTGGTTTCAACTTTCATCAAAAAGTGACGCCAAAGTTATTCAAAGAAAACGTGACCGCGATCGATCGTGAACCTGCTATCTTTCCTAGAACCCTGGGCACTGCGTTGTGCTTGGGAATACATTGTACAGTCGTCCCTCTCTAATCCGGCACTTTTTTATCCGGAACCCTTGCCAAGCGGCGCACTTTCTGACGACACCACTTTTTTTCGTTCTATTCCAACATCTTAATCCGGCACTTGAATTCCGCCTCCGGCAGTGACTTTTTAAAACGAATCGCTCAAACTGCACGTAGTTATATTTCATAATCCAGCAGTCGTAAATCGCGTACCGCACAGGTGCACTCCAGGCTAGGCCAGTCTGGTCAATGTTGTGCAGGAGACAACGGCAGTCAACCATACTTTCTTATTTTAGCAAGGAGTAGTGTCCTGCCAAATTTCAGGTGTGTGTGTGTGTGTGCGTGTGTGTGCAAGAGTACATGTGAACATGTTCTCTGTTTTACTTTATCACTGTGTATATTCCCGGAGAACAATTGAGAATATAAAGCCGTGCACCAAATACTTGGGTCGACACGGAAAAACCCTGCGTTTCGACGTACATATGATACATGCATGCATTTGGGTAGGGCCGGGTCAGAGGGCAGGATTTCTTAATCCAGCACCCTCGTTAATCCAGCAGAAAACGCCGTAGCAAAAGGTGCCGGATTAGAGAGGGACGACTCTATTCCTTTACGTTCTAGTTTATTGCACCCTTCATAATTATACCTTATACATATTACTGGTAATCTGCAATGTCATTTACAATTTCCAGTATCACCATCTCTGAAGAGCCTTTGACAAGTGAGACAGCTGTCCGAAGGAAATGTTTAACCCGCGAACCCTTCGTTGTTTGAGATTATTGGTATAAGCAAGAGTACCCCCCCCCCCCCCCCCAGAGAGTGCAACGCCTGATCCAACTCATCATAGGGTCTTGGTAGAGCGTCATAGACGGATCTTTGCGTCATAACACGGTACACATCTGAGGGGAACCCGGGGAGTTGCGGGTACTCTCGGATCAAAAACAACGGTGCCCTGCCTCGAGACCGGCCTTGCGCTGGTGTGGAGTGTACGCATGACATCAGAAGATCCGATTACGCTCGAGCAAGACCCTATGCCGAGCTGGATCAGGCATTGCACACTCTGGGGGGTTATGTACTCTTGGTGTGAGTAATGGCTACCGAGGGTAGCAATGGTCGACTTTAGAGCGCATGGCGGAGGAGAGTTTTATGTATTTTAATTAAAGTTGCATACGTGTCTTCTGTTTTCGCCTATGTCTCCTCTTGTTCTCCTCCTGTAGCTGAACAGTCTACAAATTCTCCATGCACTGGCCTAAATAGATTGCCCAGATGTGCCTCAGTAATTGGGCTGTTCCTTACAGGGTGTGTTTAAGATAGCTATTTGGACTGAGCACCTTGTGCATGATCATTGTATAGTGCTTGCGGATTGACCAGCTCAGGTATCATACTGGCACTCTTCATATCCTCAATCCAAGTTACCCGATGCACAGAAAAGAACCAGGCATTATCACCATCATTCCTCGAGTATTGCTGCAAGGACATAATCTGTGATGAAAACGAGAAGGGCCGAACGCTTACAAGTCATCCATTGTTTGTGTGTATTGGTGGTATTTACTATTCGACTAGGGAAGTCCCAACAGGCATGGCCTTGTAACAGGGAACCCTAGGTGAATCTTTGCGTGGTGAGCAAAAGTGTGCAACACCAACAAACATGAGCAAGAAATCGGCGAATCAGAACCTGCAACAATTACCACAACACTGATCATAATGAATTTAGAAGTTGCGACTTCGGCGGAAAAAGTCATGACGTTGATTGTTCCAACTAGGAATTAGGAACTGTGTATTGAGCAGGGAGTGGTGCTTTCTTGCAGGTTTGCCGAGTGGAAGGTGCGACGTGCTCCTCGTGTGCGCCGGATGGCAGTCGTGAGTCAGTCAAGTGTCAAGTTCGGCAAGAAGCGTGTGTTCCTAGTTGGAACAATCAACTTACTTGATGACTGGTCATAATGCTGCAGCTAAGCTCCGGGTCGTTGAATGTCAGTATGACGTCATTCAGTGTTCTGGTGATTCTTCTGGCTCAAGTTCAGGCAAATCCTGTTCCAAGATGTCCTGAGTTTTTCATGCGAACAAAACATTATTTTGTATGACTGCTGTAGACCTCTAGCGTGTAGTTATAAAACCGTGTGTTTGTGTGCTGCTGCGTCTTTCGTTTGTGTAGTCTCCGCAGGCCCTAAGTCTCTCAAGGGTGCTAACAGTGGAGCACCGACACATTTGCCTTGTTTGGGAACGCAAGCAGCCTTGGTTATGCTCCTAGGCGTGGTCCTACCGTGTGCACATACACTGGTGTAGAGGGTGAAATGGTTATTCATTCACATGCTTACACAGAGTGAGAGCAGCTGACTTTCTACGGAGCCACCACCGATCTGCCGCATCCTTTTTTTGTGTACTGCGATTTCTGGTTTTGCTTTGTTTGCAGCGTAGAGATTTGCTATAGCGATACAATTAATTTTCGGTTTCCCGTTTTGTTGCACAGTATATACAATTTCTTATTTGCATGGTTATTATAGGTTTCATGCCACATACCGTAGTGTAGTGTAGTAAAGCGTGTCTCATATTTCAGAGAAGCCTCTTTGAATGCAAGCCTGATTTTCAAGATACACTAGCGTCACGTAAAGCCTGGTTTTAGTGTCGACACACATAGAAATACCTGGTTTGAATAGAAGCCTAGGCCTGACATTTGTTTCTACAGGAATACGCCGCCCGGCTTTAATACTCGGCATTACGGTATAATTATAGTCGCGTAGAGTACCGTGCCCCACGTTGTTGATATCTGGCATTCCCGCTGTGTGCGTTACACATTGCATTTCTAACACCTTATCAATTTTCTTTGTGGAATGGATTTTTGTTGTAAGTGTAGTTCCTTGGTCCTCATCTCTTCTTATTTTTGACTTGCCTTGTTATTGTGAAACATCACTGATTCAGTAATGACAATATAACTGAGTTTAGGGGGTTAGAAAATCAGTTTTGATATGGCCAGGTTTGCCCATTATACAAACAGGAGCCGGCTTGATGGTGGAGCATTGAAAAAATAAAAGTACAGTCTCCAATACTACATACCACAGTCTTTAATAGTGGTACTTGAAGTACGCAACTGCTTCACAATACACACAGGCGAAGGTTGAGAGATGGACCAGATAAGTAACCGAACTCACAATCAAGTCAACTTTTTGGCCTCGAGCGGACGCTTTCATGTCTTTTCCTTTTTTTACATGAAGTGTTGGGGCCGAACAAGAGAGGTTTCTTACTCACTAACATAACTGACAACAGGAACAGGTAGGTAGATGGGAACGACATTTGACTAAGACCAGGACGAGCGGAACGACGACATGGTGATTGTTGAAGAGAGCGAGTTGAAGAGAGAGGCAACGCAATACAAAGGGCCTGGGTAGCTATGTCAAACATGGGCGCGCAAGTAGCTATCCAGGGCAAATGAATAATGCATGAACTAATGAATATGAACTAATTACTTGTAGGCATAACACACCACCCCTCCTTGAAAAAGAATCCCGCGTCATCGCTGAGAAAAAAAGAAAGAAAAAAGAGAGAAAAAGATAAAAAAATGACTGGGGGAGAAAAACACACACACATTTATTTATTCAACATCTCCTGGCCCGTCCGAAGACTGCCAATAAACATGAGAGGTCAGGTGATAGCCAACCACGGCAAGCTAAAAGGGAAAAAAAGAAAGATGCTGGCAGAGAGGGAAAGGAGATAGGGAGAGAAAAAGAAAGGGAGGCACATTAATAATACATGGGATCACTTCGGATGAGACAGTGTGGAAAGCTGAACTGTGAATTTCCTGATATCCTGGCATGTCTTAATGCTAGTAGGCAGGTTAGACCAAAGGGAGTATGCTGAGAAGAAAGGGGATTTCAAAAACAGAGAGGAACTAGCTCGGGGCAGTGATAAGGCATTGCGTGTTGGTCTAGTGGTAACAAACCAGTTGTACTTGGCAATATGTTTCGGGACTTGGGCTAGGAAGATTTTTTGCACAAGGATACAAAGATGCTGCTGATGTCGGGCAAGAAGAGGGTGCGTGGAAGCAAGTTTATAAAGACAAAGGGAGGCAAATGTTTGGTCTTTTCGAAACAGAATTTTCAGAAGCAAGCGTTGATGTACCTCCAGTCTGTGGAGTAAAGTCTGAGACAACCCGCACCAAGCTATATCGCAATAGTCAAATATAGGCAAAATGTACGACTTAAAGAACAAATTTCTGCAGTTATCATTCAAGTGTTGGCAGTGGGGTTGTAGCATACCTAAGGACGCACTCGCACGCTTGCACACAGACTGGACTTGTGGAGACCAGGAGAGTTGGCGGTCGAGAATAACGCCCAGGTGCTTGTGCTCGTTAACAACTTTAATAGGTGTACTATTTAGACCAGGAAAATACAGAAGTTGAGTGGGGGGCGAGGGAGAGAAGAACATGGCCTCGGTTTTGGCGAGGTTAGGCTTCAGTTTCCAGGTTTCCATCCATGTTACTGTAGCGTTGACCCCGGACTGCATGGAGGCCGTGAGGTTGTCTGCCGAGCTGTCGGAGCACATCAGAGCAGTGTCGTCAGCAAAAAGACTTACATTTGGTACAAGGGCTGGCAAGTCATTAACGTACAGTAGAAATAGGAGCGGCCCAAGTATGGACCCCTGGGGTACCCCAGACACGACTAGTAATGGGTCTGATAGGGAGGTAGATACTCTGACAGTCTGGTGGTGGCAGGAAAGATAGGATGAGAGCCATTGCAGGGCTGGACCGTGTACCAAGAAGACGGACTCTAGCTTTGCAAGCAGACCACGATGCCAGACGGTGTCGAAAGCTTTCGCTAGGTCAAAGAACACGATGCCAACATGCCGCCTGAGGTTCCGCTGGGTGTAGATGTCTTGTACTAGACGTGTTAGTTGGAAAGTTGTGGAGTCTCCACGGCAGAAACCGGATTGAGATGGTGAAAGCGCTGGGGTGACGTGGCAGTACAGAGACTCAAAGAAAATACGTTCACAGACCTTGGACACAGCGGGAAGGAGAGAGATTGGTCTGTAGTTGCCAGCCTGAGAGCGTTGGCCTTTCTTATAGATCGGGACGATAACAGCAGATTTCCAGACGGACGGAAATACTCCTGTACGATATGACATGTTAAAGAGCAGGCACAAGGGATAGGACAGAGATGGCGCAAGCCATTTGAGAACCTCATTGGGTATGCCATCTTCGCCAGGGGACTTACAATTCTTCAGGAGTTTGAGGTGCTTACAGACGGTAGCAGTCGTGGTAACGACGCGTGTGAGTGGTGCGCTAAGTTCAGGGGCTGGGGACAGCGATGGAATGACCCAATTCGGATCTTCCGGAATGCCGGATGAAACAAACTGCTTGTTCAGTGTGTCTGCAATCGCCTTCACATCGTGCTGGCGGTTGCCATGGGAGTCCGTCAGGTACTGGATTGGCGCGCGGGAGGTCCCGCGGCACTGGTTGCGAATGAATTGGTGGAGTGATGGGCGATCGGGGGAGGAGAGTGTTGCAGAAAGAGAGTTTAGAAAGGAGCGGTGTGAGGTACGAGAAAGGTGCTTGACGAAGTTGCGTTGAACTCGGTAAGCCTCCCGGTTAACCGGCGTTGGGAATTTCTTGTAGATGCTGAAAAGATCACGCTTACGCTTCACTTCAGATACGAGGGACCGTGTCACCCATGGGGGACTAGATGTCGAGGATGTTGGGTTGGAATGTTTCCGGTTGTGGTAGCCGATAGCAAAGTTAGAGAGGTGCTGTTGGAACCCTCGTTCAAGGACGGCTGCAAAGTGATCTACCGCGGCGTCAACAGTTGGAGAGCCGTCTGGTTGCAGAAACGACCAGTCGTGGCAGGAGAAATCAGCGTTCATAGAGTCCCAGCACTGAGAGGGAACTCGACGGAAGCGATATGGGAACGGTTTGCGAGAAGGAAGTGGCAGGTCTGGATCCGAGGGCAATGAGACGGCGAACTGGCATGAAACCATGAGATGGTCCGAGGAGCCAAGAGCGCAAGCTGTGTGAACGTCCGTCGCCAGCAGGGGTTGGTTCGTGAAGACAAGGTCTAGACATGACTGTGTTCCGGAAGATGTTGTGTGCGTTGGACTCTGCACCAGCTGATCCAAGCCGAAGCAGGTAAGGGTGCGAAAAAGTGCCGCCCCAGCAGGACACGTTAAATCCGATGGGCACCACCGTTTGTGCTTACTGTTGAAGTCCCCAGCCATTATGACATGGTACGATGACATGGGAACGGTTACCAAAGCACTAGCTAGCATATCACAGAAGTGGTCTATTTCCGTGGTTTTGACTGAGGGCGGACGGTAGGTACAGCAGACGAGGATGGGTGTCGGGGAGCCTAAGATTGGGTGAAGCTCAACCCATACGGATTCACAGGTCGGACGAGCAAGGTCGTCGCGAACTTGGACTCTTCCGAAGCGATTTTGCCGGACAAGAATCGCAACTCCACCATATCCTCTGGTTGCCGTACCGGATTTGTTGTTGTTGTTGTTGTGACATACACACACACTGCACGCGCGCACGGATATCACAAAAGTGTTTACTAGTATCATGCATTACAGTTATTGTTCCTGTACTTCTCTAAGTCTAAAGATAAGAGACTAGATGTGATGAGGAACCTACTGATACTGCTTGCATGGCTAAAAATAGAAGTTGCACTTCTGCTAAACATCAAAAATTAGAAATGGTTTCTCTAGACTTGGAGAAGATGCTTGGTATTCGCCATCTCTCCTGAGAAATGTTCAGGAAAAATTTCAAAACATACGACATTATTTCGTTCGCTAATCTCCGCTACTCGTCGTCTCACCTGGCTTCAGAAGATGTTACGAGAGATAGGAGAGTCTCCAGCAGGCAGCGCATCCATCTTCAGGAAGGGGAAAGAGCAAACTGCATGGTCCTTGGTTGAGGTAAATGCTGAACATTTGATTAGTCCCAACCAAGATTTCAGCACTTGGTTCGTCACGATTTTCGCTTGCCAGCTAAGGTCTCCGCACTCCAGCTTTCCCCTGTCGGTGTCACGTCCCAGTACACAACGGAGAGGACTACTAATAAACAGTTCACGGCACTAACAGCCTTGAAAACAGTACTTCTTTCAGTTCGTGAATACAAGAAGACAACTGAAAATGACACAATTCTTCAGTGATCGACCTTCTCTCTCACGGAGCTAAGCAGAATGTGCGTCATCACCTGTAGTCGCCATGGAAACGGGATCAGGAAATCGGCGATATGGCAAGTTTCCCTTGCCGTACGCAAGCGAGAGATACCATCGGAACCGATATCCAATTGTCTTTCATCTGAGCCCTACTTGAAAAATCGATGCACTTCCCCTTTAAATTTTTGTCTATCATGCAGACTTTCAACCCGGGCTGATATCGAACCGGGTTGAAATTTCTCATGTAAACACAGCCTAAAATTAAAAGCAACCCATTTCAGAAGTGTCTACGGTATTTGCCTCCCGCACTCTTTCATGTGTACGATTTCCCTTTCTCAACAGAAGAGCAAAGTCATTATAGGTATGAAAAAAGGGGCTCTCGAAGCCCCTAAATAGCGCCACAAGCTATGAATAAGGGTGAAGGTCGCAATAAGAACCCAACCTTTCATTTGCTTCTATTTTATTTTTATTAGTCCTCAGTGGTGCTGAGTTACATGTACCAGAAGACAATATTCTATCATACCACGCCAATTCTCTCTGCACACAAACCAATAAACTACCAAATATAATGGTACACAAGCATAATGCAAGTGAGATAATGCATGTAACCTCGTTCTAAAATAGTTAGTGCATGGCAGGGAGGGTCTTACGGCTTGAATGTGCCCTTCAGGTTAGCCTTCGGGCCTATGGCACTCAGGCTAACCTGTCGGGCACTAACACGCCATAAGGCCCTCCCTGCCATGCAGTATTATTATAAAACGGTTTAAACCTATAATAGGGACCTTTCGCATTTGCTACGAAACGAATGCGAAACGAAAGTTTGATTCGGCTCGTAATCGTTTCGTTGAAAACAGATTTCAGGTTTCGCAAGTCGTCATGCAAATGTGCATGGCAACTACGAATACTGCCGCGGGCGCCGGTAGCTTGGCGTACGGGTTTTTACACGCACATGTGCATGGATCATGGAATCAAGGGAAAAATGTGTACCTTGCAAAACATGTGTACCTATCCAAATAAATTATAGCAATAAAAACTGCTTTATGGCAGTTTTCTAAAAAAAAGTTATTGTGTTCTAGTCCATGGGCCCCGTCTAAAAAGTAAGGCTGTGTTTACATGAAGCGTTTCAACCCGGGTTGAGTTCGACCCGGGTCAAATTTCAACCCGCCATGTGCACAAAGTGAATGGCGCGTTTACATGACGCATTGCGCTTGACCCGGGTTGAAATTTCGCCCCGGGTTGATTTCAACCCTCCCCCCAAGGGGAGGGTTGAAATCAACCCGGGGCGAAAATCAAGAAAATCGTACAAACGTACCTCTGTGCGTATCTCGCGCCAGGTTTGAACGGCACTGCAGGTGCAAATTTCGCGCGAACGGATTCACGTGACCATACAGAACTTTTGGCGGCATATCAGTATTTGACCCGGGTTAACTGTCTTCATGTAAACGCTCACCTCTTTTGTCTATCGTACAGACTTTCAACCCGGGCTGAACTCGACCCGGGTTGAAATTTCTCATGTAAACACAGCCTAAGAAATTAACGAAATGTGATAGCCGAAAATTAAAATTTCACACAAAACCTCACAATAATCACACACAGGATGAAAAGCGAGAAGACCTTTTCCTCTCTGGGTCCTCTTTCCTATTCATGCATGTTGGCGCAGTAAAAGTCACCCGTGAAGTGTCAGACTAAACAAGTGTTGAAAGCAGTATTTTTTTAAAACTAAGATCCTCAAGTGCTGTGATTATTGTGAGGTTTTGTGTGAAATTTTAATTTTCGGCTATCACATTTCGTTAATTTCTTACTTTTTAGACGGGGCCCGTGGACTAGAACACAATAACTTTTTTTTAGAAAACTGCCATAAAGCAGTTTTTATTGCTATAATTTCTTTTGTTTTTTTTAGCTAAGGATATTATCAAGAGTCCATAAACAAATGTTTATGCACTCTTGATATTATGTTAATAATTATGTCACCAATGGAATGCCCTAAATAATGGCCTAGCGCCTCTACATGTACATGTGCATCATATCAAATTCAATACCGTATTATACGCATTAATGTGCAAGCATTTTCTTGCAGAAAATGGCACTAGTCTTGCATATTCATGTTCTTCTGCAGGGAATCATATGGGTAGTGGCGGTACGCGGTGATACTTTTTTTTATACGCAGGTCATTCTGGGTATGTTGCTGTTTCAGAATTTCATGACTCTATCATAAGATTGTCTTGACTTTCAGGAAATTCAGATTTCCACACCCTAAATCACATTTACTTGAGAATTGTAACCAGGTGCGTGCCGCAGATGTTTTTCTTGATTCTGTGTTTATGGTAGTCATGGGTTGTCGTGATAAGGTCATCCTGCATCTTATTGTACTGAAATCGTAATCCTGTTGATGTCGATAAAACTTTTGGAAGTACATGTAGTTCAATGACTTCAAAGTGTTACAAGTCCACGATTGTCTAAAACAACACAGCAAAGTAGGAACAATAAACATGTATTAATATGTAAACAAATACATTGTTGAGTCCGACACCTCGTTCCAACAACTACACTGATCCTGAGGATATTATAAGGGGCAAGGATATATAGTTGGAGGTATTGAGAGATAAACAAGGCACTCCATAATAATAAAATGTTACATGTCTTTGGTGAGTATGAATGATATCCAGTCAAACCTCTTTAGGACGAACATCAAGGGACCGATGGTATTAATTTTGTTCTGTGAGTTTGTTTTAACCCTATTTTATAACCAGTGAATACAATTATTTCTCCAATAGAGACACGAATATATTTATTCTACAGCGAAAGATTCTAAGTCAGACCAAACCATTGACTCGTCTTGTGTGAAACAAATGAGTCACTGAACCTTTCTTTAGGCCCTCTTCAGACTAGGTACAAAACAGCCTATAAGTCACATTTACATAGAAGTTTCCAAGACAACAACAAGAATCTGGCGGGAAGCCTAAAAAGCTGCCCGATCCTTTCAGGCAGGCGGCCAACCCTTGTACAAGGCAACTTTCCTGCATTTATCGTACTTTCACCAGGCAGTTGTACGAACTTTGTACCCGGGTACGACTGTCCGCTGCTTTCACACATCCCAGGCCCTTTGCAAAATTTCGTAGGGTCAAAGGTTGCCTGTATATTGCATGCAAAATGTGTAGTCTGAATGCAGGCATGGAAAAATGTTGCCTTTTAGGTTTTATGTGATTTTGTACTGGATTTTCTATGTACGTAGTCTGATGAGGGCCTTAGGAACATGACGGCAATTGAAACAACAACAGAGAAAATACGATACATGTACAGCACATTCTTGCAGGTACTACAAACAGATTGCCGATCGTAATTCTTGCTCTGCCGGCACGCAACTTTATTGGGGCAGTGCAATCCCGGCGCTACTAACAAATCAAACAGCCCAGACTCGAGTAAACAAATCCAATCGTACGAGATTTTCAAGAGACGAGACTGCACCCATTGGCTTGTTTCGTATGAAGCAAACAAGTCACTGAATGCATGAACCTCTCCATATTAAAATTAAATGGAGATTTAAATGGAGATTTTCCCTGATATGCGAATTTATTTTGCATACTCGGCCAATGCTTCCCCCCCCCCCCCCCCCCCCCAGATTGGGAAATGCCAACGATGCTATGCCACTGCAAAATTCAGATTCTACCCTATGATCGGAGCACGGAATGCCGGAAGCAATCATGACCAGTGCCTTACTTGTAACGTACCAATGTACAATTAACATGAGTATTTCGACAACACATCTAAGCCTCAGCAGCAACATACAACATACATGTAAGCCTTACCGTCAAGAAGGTGAACTCGCGTTCTTCGCACACTGTTGGCAAGGGCAAAGAGATACGAATGGATCTAAATCCGAATAAAATCAGCACACGTTTCCGTAAATGAAAGGGTGAGCATAAGCAAATGAATCGAAGGAAACTGGTCAACTCAGAGATCACCTGTCATTGAGTATTCCGTAAAAGGAATACAGCAGAAAAGCTAAATTTAGAAAACAGTTCCTGTCAGCTTTTCCATTATTTATTGTATTCCACCTAAATCCACCTAAAATCAGCACACTTTTCGTAAATGAAAGAGTCAACACAAGCAAATGAATCAAAGGAACTGGTCAACTCACCTGAGTAATATTCCGTGAAAGGAGGTCTCAGCAGAGCCAAAGCGAAATAAGCCAGGAGACGAAATATCCGAAACAGCTCATGCAAGAAGCAGTTCCAAAGAAGAAAGTTCCTCGCGCATGCACATCCGAAAACGGACTGCACTGCAACACAATGTCTGCCGTGCACGTGCACAGCACGCGGCTACCACGCGTTGGTAGATTAATACCGAGCACCTTACGTAGAATATTACGTATCCTAAGTGAAATACCGAGCACCTTACGTAGAAACTTACGTAGCATAGCGATGTCGTTTTTTCTGCCATGTGAACACAATAATAGAAAAGCTGACAGGATCGCTTTTCTAAATGTGTACCTGACGGATTCGGAGCGTGCCACGAATGAAGGGGCTTCCATTCGTGAAAACGAGTTCTCCGCAGGACTCTGACGAATCCTCGAACCCAGGTGACGAATCAGCATTCGTTTCGTATCCGTACACGGGGTGCGAAAGGTCCCTATTGATGAGCGTTATGCGAAAGCTAGTTAGATTCATGTACATATTTTTCATCGTTCCTATTATTGTTCGTCACTTTACATTTACGTCATAGTTATTTCATTGTCCATCACCACTTCACATCTCAATAAAACCTTCGTAACATGTCGCTTCAGCTGGGTCTGTTTATAGCCATCTTAGAATCAACTCGTAAAAACTCCAAGTCATGCAATCTCCCATTGACACAAACCTCGTTTATTCAACATAATCATATCCTATCCAACAAAAAACAGTTCATAAAAACAGCTTTTTAGGATCGGACCCAGTCCGCATAACCAAGAGAGCTAGCTCCCTTGGCTGCTGTTGGAATATGCAAGAATGGGCCTTCCAGATAAGGTCTAACAAGGAGAAGTGGCTATAGTTATGAAATGAACACCGGTAACCATGGAGACAGACCACACTCTCATTATAGATACTGGTTATAAATAGACCGAATCAGGAAAATGATCTGATAGCCTATGAAGAGTAAAAGAAATTGAACCAATGACAACAAATACTCGTCCAGCACACGAGTTGTCATGGCAACACAAATAACAGCTGTCCACTAGTTTTGTTGTTGGAGATTGAGTAGGA